ACCATCAGGGCCAGCTGAAAGTTTGAATGGAGTATTTCTGGATGATTTGTATTAATATTATTCTTGGCCGCAAATGATGGAGGTCGTACAGGACGAGATATCTCTGCGCGGCATTGCCTACAAAACAAAGGACAGGACATCAAAAATGCCCGGAAGCATGTTTGACAAACACTCGCCTAGTGCCTCTATGCAAGGACAAACGGCAGTGCTGTGTGTATTATGGAATTAGTATTAGGAAACTGAATAAAATTCAATTTAAAAATTATTTTTAAATTTAATTATTGTTTTCCCTCTCAATTGTATTGCTTTAAATCAAGTACGTACTGTCTGGAAGATTTTAATATTTAAGATTCTTCCCATTTCCCGCCAAGTACTTTCAAAGAAATACTCAAAAATAAATACTTTTAAGTTCAAAATTGTTCAAAAAATCGGCAGTGCTGCAAAGCGTGCGTGCAGTGCTGGGAAACGGTTGAGTTTCAAATGTAATTTTAAATATTCCATTTGCTGCAATTGGAAATATTAATAATGAGACACTAAATGCATAATTTTAGTAACCAGATAAATATATATATATATATTTCCTTTAGGTTTATAAACATCAAGAATTTTGCTCATTGTAAATATTTTATAAACTAACAAAAATAAAATAAAATATATATATATATGTAAATGGTATGGCACATGTATATATGGCCATTTCTTTTTGTAGCAGGCGCCTGGTATAGTGTCTTTTTGTTTAAATTCATCTGTTGTTTGTAGTTATTTGACGGCTAAAGCCGCTCATTATCAGCATTGAATGCTTTTTTGTATGTGTCTTTTTTGTTTTGTCTTTCATTGTTTTGTGTTTTATTTTTTGTGTCTAATCTGCTTTTTTGCGTAAAATAAGCGCGTCTTCTATCTCCTCCTTTGGCTGATCGCTGTCGCCCCAGCCCCAGGTGGCGTGAGTGCCGTCGCCAGTGCGCTTCACACGCTTCTCGATAATGGCCGGGGAGACGGTCTTCAGGTCATAGGCCCAGCCAATCTTTGCAAAGCAATCAATAAAGAAGGTGGTAAAGTTCAAGGTATAGAAGCCAAGTTCAGCCGTCTTGTAGTCCCAGGGGAAAACATGATGATAGTTGTGCCACCCCTCGCCAAAAGCCAAAATAGCCACGGATATGTTCTGCGTGGGGCTGATGAAACTGCCGAATGCAAAGTAAATTAAGGAATAGCTGCCGATTGGGCATAATCTAAACACCCACCGGTCATAGGGGCGGCCACCAAACTTGTGGGCAGCACTGTTGACGAGCCAGGTGACGTTCAAGATGAAGCACCAGCGGAACATGGTGGCCACAAACCAGGCATTCATAAGGGACTCATCCCAAAAGTAAATCGGTATCATGGTGGGAAACAGGAAGCAAGCGAATGGCATCAGGTACAGATAGTAGCTGAAAAAATAAACATGGATTACCCGTGGGCACAGGATTGTTGGTTCTACTTACCGCTTTTGAAACATGAGTATGGGATCGGCACGCAAGTCGGATAGGTCTATGCCCTGGCCCTTGGCCTTTACCTCCGGATGCTTCTTGCAGAGCAGCCATCCAACGTGTGAAAAGAAGAAGCCACGTGTGGCATTGTGTGGGTCGGCGTCTGTCTCAGAGAACTTGTGGTGCACGCGATGGTCACGGGCCCAGTGATAGGCGGCGTCCTGGAAGGCAATTGTATTGAAGATGACCAACATCACGCGCAATGGCCACTTGGCCTTGTAGGAGCGATGGGCCCACAGGCGATGGGCGCCAGCAGTGATGCCAAGTCCAGAGCACAAATACAGCACCAAGGCAAAACCAATTGTTGCCAATTTGGCCGAAGTAATCAACAGATAGAGGCCATAGAGGGCGGCCAAGTGCAAGTAGCCAAAGGCCAGGATATTGCGCCACACGAGCGTCACTTTGCGGCCGTCGGCGCACTTCTGGAAGCCCTCGTTCCCCTCATCAGACTCGAATAGCACACCAGTGCTGGTGTTGCTGGTGGCTGGTTCCTCCTTGCCAGCATCTGCGGCATCTACGGCATCTACGGCATCTACGGCATCTACGGCATCTACGGCATCTGCTGCATTCGGCTGCATCTCTGCTGAATCGACGGTTACCTCTGAAGCTGTTTTTGCCTGCGCCTTGATGTTTGGCGGCATGCTTAATCCACAATTTGCTTTATTGTTTGGCACACACAATACTGAGAATCTTTTTGTTAGTCACTCCCAAAACGAATAAGTATTTTTGTGTCTAATTTTACGGGCAGAGCTTTGCTCAAAACAGATTGAGCTTTGCTTCCAGATTTTTCAACAACGCAAATGCCTACTTCGATAGTTTTGTATAGTTCATACGGATGTATGAACAGTTCCTGGCTGCCTATCGAAAACTCTCGAGGCGCGCCAGCTTAAAAGCTCCAATTTAAATTAAAGTACCGTTAATTGGTGGCGTGCAGTAAATAAATGTCCGAAACTATTATAAGCCACCCAAAAACGAAGCAAATAAAGGCAATACATCTGCGACAGAGAGAAGCAACCATACAAAATATTCTACGTGAGTTAATAATTAATTCTAGCGCAATTGCAGTTGAAAACTTGAGTGTTGTCACAGGGTGTGATACAGGCAGACAATTATTAGGAACGACAAATAAAGGTTAATTTGAATTTCTGCATCAAGTTCGTACCGTTTTCCACTCTTCTTCGGCTTGCAATAGGTCAAAACGTTTCAATGGGCTAAGACACTTACCTTACCCTGGCCTTGAATCAAAATGACTATTCTGAAAGTCCAAACGATCGATCGTCCACAAAATGGAATATCTTCTTGTGTGTTGCCTTGAATCAGAATTTATTAAAGCCTCACCGAAAGTGAATAAACCATGCCCAAACCAGCCTAAATCAAGTCACGAAACGAAAACAAAAACACAAAAATTTTGTGGTACTATTTGTAGTTATTGTATTTAGCAAAAGTCTACAAATGAATGCATTTCGCCTCTTACCGAGGGTTAGAGTCCGAGTATTGGCTACTCTTATGGGAGAACACTAACATTCAATGGGTGTAATGGAGGTGTACAGGGATGCACGGACGGAAGGCCTGCCTTTATTCCTAGACAGGGACAGCAGACAGCTGACAGCACAAAATCCATGAACATAGAGGAAGCTTTTACCACACCGTTTTGCCTTCATAAGCGTACATCTAGCTAAATTATATTTATTTTCAACTATTTTTACAGGATTGTTTTTGTAGTTCATAGAAAAAAAAATTTATATTTTTGTGTTTTATGCATGTTTCAAAAAAAAAAAAACCTCTTAGTAGCTACCATACAGATATAGTATCGCTAAACAAACACCACACACACCACACACCACACCATACACATTTGTTTTAAGTTCAGGAACTCGGTCATGATTTGATTTAATTTTGGATTCTTCTTGGGTGATATTGTAGTAGCTCTCTCTCTCTCTCTCTCTCTCTCTCTGTGTGTCGGGTTCTGCTGTTTCTGTTTAAACAAAACATAAAAGTGGTGGAAGAAACGGCAAGGAATAATAAAGACAAATGTTCTTTTGTTTTTTTTTTGTTGTTGTTTTTTTTTGGAGAACACAATCATATTCATCTACAAGAATCTCTTTTCTAAAAGTTTATTTTTATAATAGTTTAGTTTCTTTTTTTTCTTATAACAAGCGCACAGGGAACTGGAATTTTGTATTTTCATAGTCATAATTTATGTTTTTATTGAGGAGTTTTTGCCGTCATTCTTCATCATCGTCATGATCATCATTGTCGTGTGATCTCGATCTCTCGTAGAAAATTACAACTTAAAAAAGGGTCTCCCTCTCTATGGATATAATCTCGGTGGCGAGTTATTCTCTAGCAAAAATGATGCTAAAAATATATATACATTGATATACATATACATTGCCTCGCCTCGCCTCATACATAATAATATATAACGTGGGGAGAGGGGGAAAGTTAATTGCGAGTCTCAATTGCAGCGCTAACCATATGTCTGGTCTGTACATGGGATCAGCTCATCCACTAATCCACCTCTAATCACGTTATAAACCTACTAATTTTACTCGATATCTCTTAGCCTATACACACACTATCCACCCGAAGAAGGGAGCACAAGGGAGTGCCTCTGGCCCATGCACGAGATGGTCGGGCAGTCACTTTCCTATATGCAATTAAAAGCATATGCCAGAGCTCCTCCTGCATGGGAAGCACGCACTCCTCTCCCTACTACTATATATATATATATATATATATATTTATATCGTATGTCCGCTTCTTGTCTGGAACTGGAGTTTTTGTATTTAAGGCTTGGGTGTAAAATATCATTTTACTTACAGCCTCACCATACATACAAAAAAAACACACACTCTGAGAATACTTTCAATTTTTGTTGTAGCCACCCGTTTTTATGTTTTGTTTTGTCTTTCTTATATGGTATTATGTATACTCTTAGATTCATGTTAGATCCGCGGCTGCTGCTGCTGGATCTCCGTTAACTGCTAGATAGTCTCGTCTAAATAATACTTCAATAGTATGTACATGGCCAAGAAGTCAACAATGTCCATTTTTTGTTTGATTTTTACCCCCACCCGCGGCGTGGCGTGTCTGTCTCATCAGTATATGTGTTATAACAACCTAAGATGTATTCCGTATATGGGTAATATGTTTATATACGTGTTATTATGACCCCAGCAACGCGCTTGAAATGTAGTTTTATATTTACATATCATAATTAAAACTATATTTATTTGTTTTCTTTTTCTTGTTTATATTGAAGTAAGCGCACCCCCCCAAAAAGCTGCCCTAGGATGATTTCTTTTCATGGTCTTTTTTAAATGTAATATGTGTATTTGTGTGTGTGTGTGTGTGTGTGTGTGGTGTAAAAAGAAAAAAAATATCAATTGAGAAATGGAAAAAACAAACGAAAACGATGCACAATTATGATACATAATTTTCTTTTTTTCTTTTTGTTATATAGAGAGACAGATATTTTTGTTTGAAGAGATATCACCCGCCACTGAGTTAAGTATTTTTTTGTTTTCTTGTTTTTATATCACGTCTTGCAACTCGTGTACGAGTAAACGCATTAATTGTATGATGGGAGATGGGGGGGATTTTTGGGTTTGGTTCCATTTGTTTCCATGGAGAAATCTAACTTTAATAAATGGAGGGGCTTCTTCATCATATTGAGAGAGAATGAAGTGACAATATGCTTGATATCATGATCGAGAGTTGTTTTGTGGTTGATTGATTTGATTTGATTGATTTTTCTCTTGAGTGTTGTTTAAATTGTTGTTTTTTTTTAGGAGAAAACTTAGCACAAATAAGGGTTTGTTTGTTTTTGCTGGACAGACAAAGATTGAATGTCGGCTTTAATCTAACCATTACTTAATCATATTTCATCTTATAACATACGAACTTATAAAAGGTTTCTTTGTGATTTTTTGTTTTTTTTTGTTTGTTTGTTTGTTTCTCCTTCAATTAATTCATGGAAATTTGATTACTTATTATTACAAAAAAAAAAAAACTATGCATTACTTTTCATATTTATATATATATATATATATATATGCATATATATAACACACATCGTCGATCGGTGGTTTGGTTTAACCTGGATAATAGATTAAACCGCCAAGTCCGACGACATCTTGTTCATGTTTCTCGTTATCTTCTGCTCTCGCTCTATATCTACCACACGATGAGACAGCAGACCCAACGATAGTGTGTATAAATAGTGTAGAGTATTACTAGGCTAGACCTCCTATTGGTTCTCATCATCGTCACCATCGCCGTCATCGTCGTCGTGCTGCTCGTCCAGTTGATGCTGCTGCTGCTGCTGCACGGCGGCGGCCAGTAACGCGGCCTTCTGTGCCTGCGCCTGCATCGACGCTTGCATCGATGGTGCGGACATGGCTATCTTCCCGCTTGTCTTGTATTCGGTCATTTCCTGCAAAAGCGACCCAAAAGCAAACCATAAGTTATCATCGAAAATGGTTCCCCACTGAAATGCGTTGCTGTATCTGTACATACCCGTTCATAGCGTGCCTTGTCCCTCTCGGCCATCGACTCGTACTTCTGTTTAACCTCGGGGTCAACATCGGACCATTTGCGCCCCAGCTCCTTGGCAATGTCGCCAACACCGTATTCTGGATTCAGAGCCTTCACCTTATTTCTCTCATCATTGCAGAACCAGAAGAACGCAGACCTATGAGGGATATTTTCAGGTTATTATTCAATTCAAATATGAATGAGTTTTGGGCTGGCCAAAATGATTTTGTTATAAATTGCTTTTTGCTACGAACTCACAATGAACGTTTCGGTGCATTGGGGTCCTTGATCTGTTTCCTCTTCTTGCCACGTCCCACAACAGTACCCTTGGGCGGCACATAGTTTTGCATTTCAGCCTCATAGCGCTGCTTGTCCTTTTCGGCCATTTCATGGAAACGTTTCTTCTCCTTATCCACCATTGTCTTGCGAGGGGAAGAATAATTGATTAACATATATGTTCATGGGGGTTTCCATGCGAGTTCAGGGTTTTGTTACCTTCCACCGTTCGGCACACTTGCGCGAAAATTCGGCAAATATCACGGTTTCATCGGGATGTTTCTTTTTGTGCTCCTCCCGGCAGGTTTGTACAAAGTATGCGTATGCAGTCATTCGGCCCCTCGGTTTTGCATCAGCCTTTCCACCTCGGACCATTGGACTCTGTCGAGGGACAAAGGACAAACAAAGGATTCGACGAGATACGATATTAATAAAGATCGGTTCTTGGGTGTGGATTATTTTGCAATAACTTACCGCCGAATTGATTACATTCTGTTGCTGTTGCTGCTGTTGCATCTGTTGTTGCTGCTGGTGCTGTTGTTGCTGCTGCTGTTGCTGTTGTTGCTGCTGCTGCTGCTGCAGTTGGGCAGCTGTGTTGGCATCCACTTGGCCCTGATTGGCTGCCGAATACCACCACTGGGAGCCGGGCACTGCTGCGGCCGCCGCAGCCTGTGCCATATTTAGGCGATAGTCATAGCCTGTGGTACCGGCAGCGTTCGACGTGGCCACAACCTGGGCCATCGTCGTGGCTGGATTCGGGAAACTGCTGGCCATTTTATATGTGAACAGCTGTTGGGTGCCAACACCGGCAGCGGTATTGGAGCTATTCTGATGCGCCTGCTGCTGATTCTGCTGTACCACCACTTGGTGCTGTTGCAACTGTTGCTGTTGTACTTGTTGTTGTTGCTGCGCAGCCAGTTGCTGCTGATAGTGTTGAATGGTTTGCTGATCAATAGGTTTGTTGGTTGTGTTTGTGATTAGAGGTGTGTGCGATGCCAGCCGGAGCGGAGAGTGTCTAATGGCTATGGCCTTTTATTAGGATATCTACAACTAGCAACAACTACCAACTATTTTCTACTGCAGCAACTACGATTTTGTGGCTATAGTCCCCGGACACTCGTCTCGCGCCTGGCATCGCACTACTTAATCACTAACTCAGTAATAATTGATTAACATTAATGGACATGTGCGGGTTGGTTTGTTTGGATTAGTGATTAATAAACCATAGTGGTTTCAATTGCATTGACAGCGATACTCCGGTCGAATGCAAACCAACGGAACAGAAAAAAACAACAAAACTCTACTACACAAAATTCTACGAAAAGCAAATTAAAAGCTAAATAAGTATTGTATTTCAATATAAGTGAATTAACATGTGCTCGAGTGTGTTCGTCTGTGCGGATCCATTTCAATCAAAAGAAAAAAGCCGGAGGAAAATGTTTCATTTCCAAACAGCCGGCGAAAATCTCGGTTATCGATTTCTATTGCGTTCTATGGCCCCACATTGTGTACACATCCATACGTATGCATGTACATATCTATGTATGTATATACAAATGAATGCATACCTGCGCTAGTGTGCTAGACTAAACAACGCATAAAAAAAACATTCTCTCAGCTGTTTTTCTTTTAGATAAAAGGCTAGAATGCGTTTTGGGGGAAGAGACGCACAGTCTTTTGTGGTACCGGTTCCGTTTTATTGGTGAACCAGTTTCGCCAAATGCTTTTATTTTGATTCCAGTGCCAGGGCCGGCAAAGAACCAGGGTGTCACACAGACACAGTCAATGACGGGGCTGAATGGCAGATTCTCCAGGGGCAAACAAAAGAAAAGCTTTAATTTGTATAGAATATTTTCGTACGGGACGGGTCTCACTCTATAAACAAAAGTAATACCATTTGTTTTACTTATTTGTGAAAGAAACAATTCGAATGGTTTGATTATGAACCAATTGAAAGACCATTTTACACGTGGGTAACGCTTTGCTTGAAAACTATACATACATACCCATGTACACGCTTATGAACATACACACATGTTAGAAAGAAAGAGAAAATGGTTGGTAGCATGAGAATTGGCCAAGCATTTTGCGTGCACATATGTATGTATGCTTGCATGGATGTTCATACATATATTATGTACATACATATGGGGGAAAAATACAGCGAATTTTAGATTACGCAAGCCGTGATTTCGGTGTGCATATTCTAGTTTAACACACACACACACATTCATATCCATAAACAGGCTTTATAGTTGTGTTAGTGAAGCATTTATCAATGCGCATTACTTTCAACATTCATATTTTTGTTGTTTTTTTTTCTCAATTAACCAAAGTAAATATATTCACAACCGTGTAAATAAATAAATATACACATACATTTTTATAAATATATATTATATACTGGACATGAATATATTTGTACAAACTAATAAAAAAAATGGCGGCCCTAGATGCGCACGCAAAATAAAATTTCGCTTGTACAGCGTCGCTTTTGTTTGTATGCATGCACGCACACACACACGTAAACGAGACTCTCCAATGTATTAGTTACTTTTTACATAAAACAAATTTACGTGCAAAAAAAACGCTTAAACAAATTCACATTCATATGTACAGGTACACACACATAGATATACAACAAGCCAGTCACTCTAATGTATGTATGTATCCAATGATCACGGACAAAATTTCCACCTGGGTTGGGTACGCTTAAATTCGTTTTTTTTTCTGTAGAAATGCTTACAACAATTTAAGGTTGTACATTTGACATGGTACGCTTGCACATATGTATTGGCATTGGCGGGAAAATCATTAACTTTCAACGAAAACGCGGCAAGCGACCAGGCCGCACGCCTTATGTTTGCTTATGTATGTGTGTCTCTCTGTATATATGTACGTACGAACATTAAATAAATGCCGTATACCTGCACACAAGCTTACCTGTATTTGATGAAAGTGATCCATAACGGAGCCGATCGGTTCGAATGGTTTATTTAGTTAATGTTCTTTTTGTGGAGCACTACGAATAGTGCTGGGATTTAAGGAGTTTCCTTCTTTTCTTGCCGTTTCTTTCTCGCACTACACACACACACTCAACGTAACGTAAGCACTGTGTCAATGGCAATGGAGTCTCTGTTTCAATTTCAGCTTTGGTTTGAGGCCTGCTTTCAATTGCTGTTCTAGACGTATTTATTCGACGTTGTATTGATTATTATATGTACACACAACGCATTTACGTCTGTACATATGTATGTACACGGCAGACGCCACACGGTAATTTTGAAATTGACTCCGGTTCTTACGGCACTCGACAGCGCACGCAACGAAACGTAACGTACGTAACGCGTTGTTGGGGGGAATTTGTTGTTTGCTTTTAGTTACTAAAAAATAAACAAACGACGCTACATATGCAGCAATGTGTTGTGTTCTTTTTTTTGTTGCTATCAATGCGGAAAAGATGGTTTGCGCGCCGCTCCGCTCGCCTGATTGAAAACACACACAGAGAGTACCGTACCAACAACGCGAATGCAAAGGCTTTGAATTGAATTGCCGTCTTGCCAGGGTCTACGTTACGCCAAAACTTCTGTATGCGTTGAATGCGCAGCTGTGTGTGTATTTTTGTGTACGTTTGTGTGTATGTATATATTGTGGGCACAAGGCAGATGGAACAGAGGGTGAGGCAAGTCGCCTATTCGGTTATCCTACTTTGTTTTCCACCCTCTCTCCATCATTAAATTTGGTGCAATACCGTCTGAAACGCTTCTGAAGCTGTTTTGACTGCCGCACAGAGCGCGCTCACCATGCTTCCCCTACCTTTTATTTGATATACCCTTAGTACAGTTTACTGAGCACAGTTCTCTCTCTCACTCTCTTTCTCTCTCGACAGAGCCAATACATACGTACATATATATGAATGTACATACACGTGGTGGAGGGAAGCAGCAGCAGCAGGCCGTATAAAAAATGTTGGGTTGTTACTTCTATACAAACTTATGTACATAAGTATGTATGTGTATGTACGTATGCGCTCTATACCCGCCCTATAAAAGCATATCATTATATGTACATGCATATGTACATAAAGAAACGCTGACAAAGCATACACATGAATCTACATACATATGTACATTATCAATGTATGCTTGTAAACAGTATTTTATGACCATTACCTATAATATATTTATAATTTACATCATGCTAATATTTGAGTGTAGTGTAAGAATACTTTACGTTATGCTGTGGACGCAACGCTCTACCAACATAAAACCAATTTAAAATTTCGGGCATGTTTTATTTTTACTTGTGTGTATCCCAAATGGTACATCCCTATGTACATTTGTATGTCCATCCCATTTCTACAAGCGGGCATACCATACATATGCATCAATACAAACACATTAATACATGCACGCGGGGTATACGTACATACGCACACAGCGAAACCCTTGCCTACATACACATGTTTCATTTTGCGTTCCCCGTCTGACTGTACTTCCCAAGTGCCTCTCTCGTTTTCTCTCTCGCTCTCTCTCATTTTATAAAGAGCGAAACAATGTGAAAATAATGCAGCTGTATGTAAGCGTGTTGGTGAGGTCACAAATACCCAGCAGACAACTTTTGTGAACGGTTTTTGAACAGTCCAAGCCAAGGGACTAAACTGATGGCAATTCATTATTAAAGCTTAATATGGGTGCTTTCTTTGAAAACATACACTGGTATATAAATATTTACCAAAACGCTTACTATTTATCAGAAAATCTAGTATATAAAATAATTGGAAAATCAATAAAAAAACTGTAGACCGAAACCCAAACAAGTCTGCAAATGTTCGTATTCTACTGAACTTCAAGAGCAGAATAGGCATGAAATGATTATTGCAATTATTGTGACCACATGCAAGAAAATAAGAAGGAAACATTGTTGAACCTTAATTGTACCGAAGAAATAAACAAACCGTGACGGAAAGATGAGCACAACGCTTGCAATATTATCTCAACATATTTCATATGGGATGGGGCATATTTTGGATATTAACTCTACAAAGGATCAGATCAGATCAATCCAGAATTTCATTAAATGCAATGAGAAAATAATCGACTATGACTCAAACTGTACACTAAATAATGAATGCAATTCAAAAATATTTTGCACACAAAAAAAAACACCGAGTTATTTTAAATTTTGCGATCGAACGGTTTCATCGATATGCTGATTTCGAAGGTATAGCTTCATTCTTCTATAGCTTCAAGCTACATTTGCGCTACAGTGCGCGTTCTTATTAGATAGGTAAGGAATGAGTACTTTCTGTTGTTTAACTTTAGGTGTAGACCTTTTCAAATAGAGAGGTAAAATCAGCCAATCTTGTGTAGAATTGAATGATAATTCGAGCCAAATTAAAGTTTTAAAGCTGAGAGTCCTAACCACCTGGTAATATCAAATAGAAGATCAAAGTCGAGGAATTTGATTTAAGAGTAAGGTATATTTTTAAATTGAAAAGGTAATTTTTATATACTTGATCGATAGTTCCGCAGGAAACCCGGGCTGGGAAAACATCGATAGTGGCCACCATCGATGGTGGAAATAGTGTAGGTGTCCTAGATTACCCCAGAAACATTAGCTATCGTTAGAAATAAAAATAGTTCCTCATCTGTATTATTAAAGCAGTATTGACGTCTGTAAAGATATCTAATATAAAATCATACAGTAAACTGTTATTCTTTGTGATAGTCAAGGCGCCTTAAATGTTCTGAAGAGCAATGAATCAAATTCCTACCTAACAGACGAAATCCACTTCAACATTGACAATTCCTTCACGAACAACTTTATTGTGCACTGGATACCAGGTCACAAGAACATTGCCATTAATGAAAAGACTGATATACTAGCCAAATCAGCCACTAATGTAGGCAAACTTTTTAATTTACCCCTAAAATTCGATGAAGTAATCCGAAAATTTAAAATAAAAGTTCAGACGGATTGAAAAAATGAGTACAAGGATATATTAAAAACCAAAGGAATTTATTTTGCGTCAATTTACAATGAAATTCCTGTCAAACCATGGCACCTGGGCTCTCGACTGAAGTGCAAAAAACATAAAGGTCATAAATAGACTGTCAATTAATCGAACATATGATCAACTTTTTATACACAAAATCAAAGCCAGAAACAATAACATTTGCGAAGTTTGCAACCTTCTCTACAATGCGGATCATGAAATCTTCTCCTGCCAACAACATGTAATTATTAGGAAAAAATGTAAAATTTTTCATCGCTTTAAAGATTTTAAGGAGTTATTGCTCACAAAGGAGCCTCTCTTTTTAAGAGAATTGCCAAATTTATTAATGAGGCTAATTTGGAGTTGTGAATCGAAACACACTATATTGTTTAAATAGTAAGAATATACTATGCATGGGGTCATCAACAACCATCGATAGTCTAGAAAATATCGACGCCCCATCATCGAACTGAAGTATCTGGTCAATGCGATTAAATACCAAACCAAAAAAAAATAATTTTTTGTTTTGACACAATTTTATTTCCTGAAAATAGCTTGAAAAATGTCTGGGAAGTCACAGCTAACTCTTCCCGATGAGGAATTGGATTGGATACAGCTGCGCCAGGACCTGGGACCCGTGATTGAGGTGGAAACCACCAAGGAAAAGCTACAGCGCAAAATTAAGGAGAACCCGCTGGTTCCGCTTGGTAAGCGGTCTGCGGCATTTCATCACAATTTCTGTTATGTAAACACAATAATATATTAATTAATGTGCTTGCACTTCGCCCCCTACATAGGATGCATAGCCACTACCGCTGCGCTCACAATGGGCTTGTATAATTTCCGCACTGGCAATCGCAAGATGTCCCAAATGATGATGCGCACCCGTATCGCTGCCCAGGGATTCACTGTGGCCGCCTTAATTGTGGGCGTTGTGATGACCTATGGCGAAAAGAAATCCAACTAATTGATATTAAAGAGCATTAATCGCATTAATAGCAATTGTAGCTTTAAAACCAAACCTGAAATCATGAGCTGTTTTTGTTTTGTATAATCTAAAAAAAAAAAAAAAAGTTAGGCGTAAATATTAGACACTGTCCGAGGTGCATAAATAGATTAATAATGTATAAAATGAAGCATAATATAATTGTAAAGATGTGTGGGTGAACTATGGCCACAGTGCTCGTTGTAATATATTTATGTAAGAAATTTGCGCGGTTCGTTGGCTGAACCGAAAATGAAGATTTCAAATGAAATCACTTATTGGATGGCAAATGTGGCTCCCAAGTGATAAGTTCTAACACCAGACAAATACTGTTGGACTCCTCAAAAGTGTAATATATAACAAAGGATGTAGGTGAGGCGAGGATATACCCATTTTGTGATTAATTTTTAATTATATTCCTTCGGATTCCAAGCTGTTTGAGGAACAATCGGAGGATCAAGTCCATTATCATCTGAAGAGGTCTTCTAATGGCTTGCCGAACTTTTTTATTCACTTCCAAATAATCGTTTAATATTGGGAAATTAATAAGTGTTTGATTAAAGAATTTAATAAGTTCATTCCCTAACTACCATTCATGGCCATTCTCCTTCGCAGAATTCGCTTGTGCACAGTCTGCTAATGGAATCAATTCAAAACTCATATTAAATGGTATTAAAGGTACCAAAGTCTATATAATTAAATTACATTTTCTTATTTCTACTAATATTTATTTAAAAATAACGAAACTTGAAGCTTGGGAAGGAGATGTTTTGATTCTCCAATCCCTCTGTTGATTTCATTTGAAATAACAAACATTTGAAGCGTAATTCCTATAGATGTGTTTACAATTGTGTATGCCTGCTCCAGCTGGGGTGTGGCCTAAACGGTGGCCAAGGGTTAGATGCCAGACATTGAATGGGGAGGTGTGCGCGCGCACTTACGGGTCTGGTTTGGTCTGGTCTGGCCTGGCCTGGATGGGGAGGAGGACATGCATTTCAGCATAGCATAATGTCTGGGCATTCAGTTCAGAGTAGGATTTCGTTCGACACAGGACACGGCGAGGTGTGCAAAATACTTTTAAGAATATTTATTTGTTTGTTTTGTTTGTCCCTGCTTAGGAGATGCATTAATTCATTTGTGATCCATTTGATAAAGATTATTGCCACTGGGCTGCTAATTTTAATTGTGGATTTAACTCCTAGTAATGCAACAGTGGAATTTTATGCTGAAAATTATTAACCTATGTGTAAAATATTGAAGATTTTCTTGTATGGTGGATAGACAAGCAAAATCTATTACAATCTTTGACAAAAAATATACAAAACAGAAAGGCTCGAGCCCTTGATGGGTGTCTCAAAATATTTACTACGACTAGAGAAGAAACCTACCCCCAAAACAGGCAATGTTTTGGCAACCTGAACCGATACACACACCACATACACAAATATATTATACCCATTAGAGGATGTAGGTATTCCGCTATTGATTTATAGCATGTCCTGCAGGGGCTGCGGGGCTGGGGGCCACATTTATGAAAATATTAACGTGATGCTGTATATATTTGTTTGCAGCTCTCGAAGAATGAATATTGTATTGGGTAATTGTGTGGGCAGCTGCGACCAATTGGCGGGTCCACCGCCGGATTTTATTTTATCAATGCCGCCGCCACCGTTGCCGTCGTTCCTGATCAGCAAACCGACAACCATTGAGACACTGATGCCGTCCAATGAGTCCCAGCCATGCTTTGCCGCGTTCATGTGCGGCCAGGGCCAGGGCCAGCATAATGACAGCAATGGCAATGCCTTGATGGAGCTGGTGCGCAGCGATACAAAAAGTCTGGAGAATATCTGGTTCTTTGTGTCCTCCTGTGTGGGCATATTCGTGCTGGGCTGCTTCCTGGCCATCATTGTGATCAGATGCAGGGAGTGAGTTTCTCTTTGCAAAGAGAGTACATTTAATTAATAATCATTTAATTTTTGCAGCACATTCTTCTCCTATCATGATGCAAACATCAAGCAAACGGCCATCAATGCTTTGGGTGAGGCAACCAAATCGAATGCCTTCTCCTCGGGCGGCATACTGTATCCTTGTGCCACGGCCAACAGCAGGGATCTGCTGCAGAGCCAGCTGGTGAATGATAGTCGCCTCCTGTGGGCCACTCTAACACCGCATGGCACTAGGCATTTCATTATTGAGAACTCCCAGGATGGGGGCCACTATGAGTCCGTGGACTATCGTGGCAAGGCACACAGTCAGGTGTTCCGGGGATATGCCAAGCATTCACAATCGTTTGTCAAGGTAAATATCAGTCAGAACTGAAGTCTCTGAAGTCTCTCTTGATTCATGGGGACTCTCTCTCCCTCTCTCTCGATCGATCTCTCTTTACAGTCGTTTGATAATAATGGTTTCGTTGATTATGACTATGAGGATCCCACACCTTTGATGGATTCCTATCACGATGACATGGACTCTGGCTATCAGGAGCCCCATGAGGTGACTGGTTCACTGCCGCAGTCCTCGCCCATGCATGCCACAACAACAACAGCGAATGAGACGACACCGACAAATGTGAACACTCTATCGATTAGCCGCAAGACCACACTGTCGCGGCGCATCAGCGATGCCTCATCGCACAACGGTACAACGATGTAATGTCTGCTGGATGCCGCACGAGTTTCGTTATGTAAATTACACCGAAAAAGAGTGAGGAGGGTGCAGGTCCATCCACAACTACTAACTACTATCACACACGATCATCGCAGTATTTTCGACACAGCTAACAGAGACACTCACACAGATACTAATGATATTTTAGTCTACTCTTAAGTATACGGGGGAATGCAGAGCACAGGACACACACACACACACACACACACACACACACACAGAACTCAGATCGAAGGAACATTAAAGCAATACTAATGTTTATTAAGTATAGTATATTGGCGCTAATAGCAGAGGGTCCCAAACCAAAGCAAAATACAAAAACTATAAAATCAAACTAATATACATACGCATTGCTCCATTGCTCTCGCTCTTAATTGCTTTTTAAACTCGTACGTGCATCAGAAAATCAAACGCAAAACAAAACAAAAAACTCAACTATACATACATAAATCTAGCTGCAAAACTAAATACCAAACTAAACTATAATAACTACTAAAACTACTACAAACTAATCAATTAGTTTTCGGGCAACAACTACCATTGTAACTCATTTACATGCATACCTATTGAACCGATTTCTCGAAAAAAAAAAAAAACAAAAAAACAAAAACAAACGCTGGATTGAATAATTATACAATTTTAAACGTACACAAAAGAAAACATGCTTTTTATTTGTGGGCAACAACATTAAAACAAGGGGGGGCACAATTTATAAATAGTGTTAAATTTGGGTTGAAAAAACTGAACAGTTGTGTAAATTTCAAAAATTTCTGTAGCGGACCAAGAATAGAAACGAAAAGTGAAGTGACAAACTGTTTAAGACCTTGAAATACATCTCAGAATTTGCATATGTTAAATTCACATTTAAATTTATGTTCTGTTTATACGAAATGGTTTAAAATAATCATAGATTTTTCTTATTTAGTGATTTAAATCTGAACTTTAACATTCAAGAAACACAGAAAACGTTTCTTTATAATTCTGTCCACATATAATTTTTAAGTTGATAATCAAATTTCATTAGATATGATGTAAAAATCTATTAAAAGTGTCAATTTTTCTGGTATTTTGAATAACATTTCTTTATTTATTATTATTATCTGCCATTAGAAAAACAATTTTTTATAAAAGTTTTTGCACAAAGTCTCTCTCTTAAATATTCAATTATCTAACAAAAAAAATGGTACAAGTTCTTTAAAATTGTTTTAGGCAAATGGAATTATTGCAGCAGTAAATGCTAAAAGAGTACATTTATGATAAATAATATGAATAGAGAACAGCTCAATAAAATTCAAAAGTTATGGGTATATATGGGTAATACCCGGAAGGGTATTAGAAAATGTCGCAACACTTTAAAAAATATTTACAAGGTGAAGCAAAGAAGAATACCGGGAGACTTGGTCGCATTTACGTATCTTTTTTGTTGCTGTTCCTGCTGCCGGGACTACTGATATGTGCAGTTGCAAAAGAATGAAACTTATTGTAAGTCTTTAAGCCACTAGTTCTAGCTGCGCTTAGCAGCTTAATATACTCTTGATCCAGTCATGCAGATGCACCTCGATCACATTCACCTGGCTGTAGTTCTTCAAATGGAATTGATTGAATGCCGTCGTCAAGTGTATGACGGCCGAGACAAAGTCACTGAGTCGCAGGGTGCCGTCCTTGCGTATATAGCGCTGTATGAGGCAGTTCATGATGTCGGTGCTCAGCTGAAACCCAATGTCACAGAGCGCATCCCGCAAACGTTCCGCCCGCAAAATGCCAGCCTTCTCCTTGGTGTACATCTTGAAGACACCCTGCCAAGACTTGAGATTCACCATAAACGTCTTGAACTGCTGAAAGGTGATCCGCCCATTGCCGCTCTTGTCCTGCAAGGCAATCACCTGGCGGCAAATGTCTATGTTGGCACACCCCTTTATGTAGTCATTGGGCAGGCAGGCCTCCAGCAGTTCGTGCAGCTCAAAGCAGTTGATCGTCTTGTTCTCATCCGCCAGCTGCATATACACCGGCTCGTACTGACACACGCTCTTGATTTTCTGTATGCTGTCCTCACTCTTGAGTGCCGGAAACGGGTCCAGCAGTATCATCGTTTGGGTCTCCAGGCAGGACAGCCGCAGCGCAGAGGTGCCCAGTATGCGAATGGTGAAATGTGCCTCCTCCGCCGGCTCATATGTCGTGGGTATGAGCACATAATGGCCGGCCTCCAGCTGTGTGTGATAGCTGACATGCCGTGTATTGCCATAGTCCGAGTTCAGGAAGCTCACGTGATTCTTGAAGAAGTCCTTTTGCAGGCACTCATTCAGGTTGTACTCTCGATTCCAGGTGTACATCGTGAAGCCAATGACCTTTGGCTCGACGGCCGTATGCTGATTGAGGGCTATGACAACGTCCTGTTTCTCCTGCACGGAAACAAGCAGCTGTGGATTGATGTGAAAGGACTCATGATTGCGACAACCGCCGGCCGTGACGCCCCGCTTCCACTGGCCCTGGTACATCTTCATTTTCCAATGCAGCGGCCGATTCTTGAGCATCTCCTCATCATTTGCCGTCTCGCTGTCCAGATAGACAATCTCCAGGGCGGTGAATATTTGTACAAAATCATAGAACGACATCCAGAACTCTCCCAAATTCAATTGATTGAGCAACCGTGCCCGTTCCCCCGATGAGACGCGCTCCCATGTCTTTGACAGCGGCGACCAGTCGCCCAGAAAGTTGGTTTTGTCCCCAAATGGCTTGCACGAAAATGTATCCTTTACGCAAATCAGCTGCACCGAGTCCCCCATAAGTGTCTCCACTTTGTCCAGGCTGGAAAGTCTGCAAAAGAATGGCACAGATAAGACCTAAAAATCACATGATATATGGACCCTCGCCTACCTGTAGTTTACATTCACCAAAATTCCATTTGGCAAACGTTCGGCAATGTTTTTCTTCTGCACGGAGGAGGCCTTAACCGCCAGGCAGGTGACAATGCATGTGGATGCCAGCTGATCCTTAAGCGTTTGCGGCCTAATGGTGTCGGCCACAATGGGCATACACTTGACCACGCCGCCAAGCAGATCAGTGAGTCCATCCGAGCGTGTGCCATACTTGAGGGCCTCATACGAGCCATGCAGCTTGGCTATGGCTTTCTCCAGGAGAGCAGCCCAGAAGCAGTTCGAGGACTGAGGCTGCATAAAGGCCAGACGTCCGTTTATGGTGGGCAGACGATCGTCGACCAGAACCTCGACCCATTCGCCGCACCACCATAGGCGAAAGCGATAGATGCCCTGCGATTTGTTGAGACTCTGATCGGCGGGCACCACGCGATAGAAGAGATTTCGCAGCGAGTAGAGCACCCCCAGGCAGGAGACCAGCCAACGATCGCCCATCTTGCCAGGCACCACATCGAACTCGGCGTTTTCATTGAGAAACGAGGCCTGGGCATTGTTCAGCTCGGCAATACGCTTCCACTGGAACGTGAATGGGGGCGTTTGGTAATAGAAGACGGACGACTGCACCGCGGGGAAATCGCCGTCTTCCCAGAGTACGTTCTTCGTTCGACAATCACTTATAATACGCTCATATTTTGATGCCATTTTATATTTGTGCTGTCTGTGTTGTTGCTTGTATTAATGTCCATGGGTGGGTGCTGTGGTTTACATTATATTCCACCGATCCGCTGCCTAAATCTCGCTAAATCTCCGCCACTTGTTGTAATCGAAGTGAAAGTTAAAGAGCTGCATTAAAATATACACAGAGACAGTGCCAACTAGCCTAAGCCTAGCTTTAGTTCGTGTCGGATCTGGTTCGCTCGTGCGAGCCGTTTTAATTGGGCGCCCGCCCCTCCCACACTTGGCGCAGAATCATGATTTGGTCTTCACTAGTTCCAGATCGCTTGAGAACAGAACTTGAACTGGAGCCAGCAAGATCCACTCTCCGTACCAGAATCCGGACTATCGTTAATTACATTTAAGTTTAAAGCTACGAAATGAAATGAAAGTACACGAGTTATTTAATTTATCTGCATAATTGTATTATTATCGTATCATTCGAATGCTAATGGGAGATGCCACAATGCTGCGATGGCTTCGATAGCTATATCGATAATATTAAAAATAAAACACAATCTTCTAAATTGCAATACTTAATATTTACTTTAAAACTGTGTAAAATTTATATTTTATTTATATGTAATTGATATGTATCTTGAATGTCTATTTCGTTTCCCAATTAGCTATCGCATTGCACGGCCCTGGATGCAGTTGTAGTCGATAGTTTCTGCCAGCCCTCGTCGTCGCTGTAATTATAATGTGCATTTGTTTTTGTCCAAAATTGTCTGTTCTGTTCCAGACTCTAATCGCATTTTGATAATGCGATCACTGTGAACGCCACGTAAAATGGTGTAGTGCAGCCAAGAATTTAAAACCGTTTATGTTCGTTCTGTATTTATTTTGTTCAACAAATAAGAGTCAAGTCAGCAAAAAAGTGACCCAGACACCAGCTGATCCAAAGACCCCCAGCCAGCCAGCAGACAGACTCATCACACCTGCTACGAATAAAGGGGATTTATTTACAAAACTGGCACTTCTGGAGGATCTAAACATTGCCTGGATATAAGAATAGGAAAAATTTGATTGATAATGGCACTGTCCAGAAACTTGGTATCAAAGATCTGTAAGTAATGTCGGATATTCGAAAGTACCGTTTTAATTCTATGTGCATGTGTATGGTACCAGATGAGCTTGTGTTGCGTTGTGTTCCGTGTGTGTGTGTATGTGTTATACAAATACAGATGTCGAATCAACTTTTGTAAAAAAATTCGGATTGCATTCGAAAAAGATGTTTTCCCATCCTATATGATCGATTATCTATCTTATGCTCTGCAGATGACATAAAGGCACACGATGGAAAAGTGACCAGCCTCGATCTGGGTGAAACGGGCCGTGTGCTGGTCACCGGCGGCGAGGATCGCAATGTTAATCTCTGGGCCATTGGCCAGAACGAGTGCTTTATGGTGAGACATTTATCTTGGATTACTCATATGTATGCCCAAACTATAGCTTTTAAATTCGTTTCAGTCCCTAACTGGTCATAATCGTTCCATTGATTGCGTACGCTTTGCATATAAAGACAATTTTGTTTACTCTGCCGACGATATTGGCATCATACGGCGTTGGGATCTCAATGCCCAGAAGATATACTCAACGCTCAATGGGCATATGAAGAGTGTGCGCACCCTGGACTTCAATCCCTCCGGGGAGTATGTGGTATCCGGCAGCAATGATACCACCGTTAGGTGAGTCCCACAACAATCTCTGCCAGATGTTCGGGTGGGTCTGTTCTGTAGCAAATAGCAAAAAACAAAAAACACTTCCTCACTGCAAGATACTTTGTTCGTGATTTAGAAAGAGAGAGGGGTATAGTCTGCCTCTGTTATGTGACAGTTTTTAGAACATATGCAGCTGCTTTTCCCTCCGATATTATGATAATTGAGGTAATTGTTAGCTTTTTTTTGATTTCTTCCACGAGCTCTACTCCTCTTTCTGCCAAAGATCTGTTCTCTAAATAAGCTTAAGCTTGATATAAGTGCAGTCTTTGAGGTCCGAAAATCCA